AAGCCTGATAAACCCGCGTCGGATCACAATTCGTATCGGCCCATCGCGATGCTGTCGTGTATTCGGAAATTGATGGAGAAAATGATCCTTTTTCGCCTCGACAAATGGGTTGAGACAAACCACCTTCTTTCAGATACTCAATTTGGTTTCCGTAGGGGTAAGGGAACGAACGACTGTCTCGCGTTGCTTTCCTCGGAAATTCAGTTGGCTTTTGCTAAGAAAGAGCAAATGGCTTCTGTGTTCTTGGATATCAAGGGGGCTTTTGATTCAGTATCCGTTGAAGTTCTTTCAGAGAAACTCCACGCTTGTGGATTGTCTCCATTAATGAATAATTTTTTGTACAATTTGCTGTCAGAAAAACATATGAGCTTTTCTCATGGAAACTCTACAGCTTTTCGATTTAGCTACATGGGTCTCCCCCAAGGCTCATGTTTAAGCCCCCTTTTGTACAATTTCTACGTTAGAGAAATTGACAATTGTCTTAGTGACAATTGCACGTTGAGACAACTTGCAGATGATGGCGTAGTGTCTATCACAGGGCCAAAAGAGGTTGACCTGCAAGGACCCTTACAGGATACCTTGGACAATTTGTCTACTTGGGCTATTCAGCTAGGTATCGAATTCTCCACGGAGAAAACTGAGTTGGTCGTTTTTTCTAGGAAGCATAGCCCAGCACAACCGAAGCTTCAACTTTTGGGTAAACCGATCACTCATTCCATGTCTTTTAAATATCTCGGGGTCTGGTTCGATTCCAAATGCACCTGGAGATCCCACATTGAGTATCTGAGAAGAAAATGCCAACTAAGGATCAATTTTCTTCGATCAATTACCGGAACGTGGTGGGGAGCCCATCCACAAGATCTTCTGACGTTGTACCGGACAACGATTTTATCGGTTTTAGAGTACGGCAGTTTTTGCTTCCAGTCGGCAGCTAAAACGCACATCATCAAGCTGGAACGGATCCAGTATCGTTGTCTTCGTATCGCGTTAGGATGCATGCACTCGACTCATACTATGAGTCTCGAAGTGCTGGCGGGCATGTTGCCACTATCCGTCCGTTTTTCAGAGTTATCTCTGAGGGTCCTCACCCGTTGCGAAATAATGAACCCACTGGTGATTGCAAATTTTGAGAAGCTTCTGGAGCTAAATCCTCAAACATGTTTTATGACTTTGTACTACCTATATTTAACACAGGATGTCAGCCCTTCAAAAAATATTCCCAATCGTGTAGTCTTCTCCGATTTCGGCAATTCAGTGAATTTTGATTTATCTATGACACAGGAAATCCGCGGAATTCCAGAGCATCATCGTCCTATGATTGCTCCGTCATTATACGCTGCAAAGTTTGGCCATGTTGATTCTGCAAGAACGTTTTTCACAGATGGATCTCTAATAGGGGAGGCCGCTGGTTTTGGTGTATTTAATGAATTTCATAGCGCCTCTCGAAAACTTGAAGCTCCTTGTTCTGTGTATGTGGCTGAACTGGCAGCAATTCACTACACTTTGGAAACTATTGCTTCACTTCTTCCAGACCACTACTTTATTTTTACGGATAGTCTCAGTTCTGTCGAGGCTATCCGTTCCATTAGGCCGGTAAAGCACTTCTCGTATTTTCTCTTGAAAATACGAGAACTGCTTAGTGCTTTATCCGTGCGCTCTTTCATCATCACCTTCGCGTGGGTCCCTTCGCATTGCTCAATTTTGGGCAATGAGAAGGCGGATTCACTTGCGAAGGTGGGCGCTATGGAAGGCGACATTTATGATCGACAGATCGCCTATGGTGAATTTTTCTCTATTTATCGTCAGCAGTCGCTCGTTAGCTGGCAACATCAATGGAGTGAGGGTAGCTTGGGACGATGGCTACATTCAATTATCCCTAAGGTGTCGAAGTTTGCATGGTTCAAAGGGTTGGACTTGAGTCGAGACTTCATACGCGTGATGTCTCGTCTCATGTCCAATCACTATTGTCTAAACGCTCACTTGTTCCGTGTGGGGTTGGGAGACAGCAATCTCTGTGAATGTGGACAAGGTTACCAGGACGCTGATCACATCCTTTGGTCTTGTGTGGAGTATCGTGGAGTCAGATCACATTTTTATGATTCCCTTCGGGCTCGAGGTAGACAACCTAATGTTCCAGTTCGAGATATTTTGGCTAGACGCGATCTGGAGTTTATGAAACTCATATATGTTTACTTTAAGGATATTAACCTTAGATTGTAAGTTTGATTAACCTTGTGTTTAGTTTGTATTTTGTACGTGTGGTTTTTTTTTCAATGTTTGTTTTCAAGATGAATAGAAATAATTTCATGCTTTAGGATTAATTAAATAGTTATATCGTAAACCACATTTAAAACCTCCTTCTTTCCTTTTCCCATCCAAAAAATTGTAAATCTCCACTAACCTCGAGACGACCGCGAGTACTCGGTCCAGTTCCTTTAACTTTAAATATAAGACAGTAACAATGTATAACGCAAAGGATAACTCGGCTCTGTAAAGTTTATTCGATTGAGCCTGTACAAATAAAGTAATTACAAAAAAAAAAAAAAAACCGAAGAACATTTCTTCTGAAGCAACCAAGTTGATAAACATATTATTGTTTACTATATTTGAGCAAAACAGTAACAAAAAACAATACGATTTTTTTCAAAAATGTGTGATGTCGCTTCACTATAACAACCATAAAAAATATGTAGTCAAAGAACTGCACAAATTATTCAATTTAAGATACTCTTAACATGTAAAAATAATAAAAAAAAAAGGAAATAAAAAATAACAACTTTAATTTTTGAGGTTTTGGCCAGCCAGGAACCACTGTGCAGCGTTGCGACGCCGTAGGAAATCCCGCTACAGCAGTGAGTACTTTTATTTTTCGTAAACCCTCGCTTACACGCCACGCTATATCTGTATAAACCCACACCCATACGCCACATAAAAGGGCAATAAAATGTTTTGGAAATTCATTGGTGTAACTAATGGGGGATGGGGGGAGGCTATAGCCCCCACTTAGGATTAATTAAGCCCCCTCTAGAATTTTAACTACACTTATTTTCGTTACACATCAAAATTGATCACTAATTTCCTAATTGAGAAGGCCGAAAAATAAATTTAGCTCCCCCTAGGAATCTTGCTTGGTTACGCCAATGTAGAAAATCCGAAGTGATTTGAGATTTGGGCGTAGTTGCTATTGTAAACAAAGACGTCAATTGCCGATTTCACTTGAATTAAAGCTGAATCTCATGAACAAACTATGCCAAATGATAGAGGAACCCTTCCTCTACCTCATAGCGTTATTAGTTTTCGTTTGAGCTTTAAGACACGAGAAATCAGTGATTGACGTGTTTGTTTACAAATGCAATTACGCCCAAATCTCAAATCACTGCGGAAATGTTAATATTCCTGTGTTTTCATACTTTGTATCGCGTCGCTTGATCACCCGGTAGTAAGCCGACTCTGAGACCCAGTTCGAGGAGTCTCTAGCTACTGCAGAATTTTCGGGTTGTCAGCTAGTTACAAGGATTTAAAAATATATTTTCCAACCTGGAAGTGTACATTGAATACCAATATCCATTTATTAAAGGTGATGCATATATGCTGGATCTGCAATAGAGTTTTCATCTTCTAGCTCCCGAACTAAAGCTGTCTGCAATTACCGCAAACGAGAAATTGTAGATGGGTTTCTTCCATAATATTACTGTTGGGGTTAGATTGAATACACACACAGATGGCTCATACAAACTGGAACTAGTCGACGATTCCAAAACATATTTTAAAGCGCAGTACCTTGTAACACCCACATCTTTGAAGGTGGGCGCTTCCTGGTTTCACTCCATTCAGTAAAAATAAAAATTAATCATTTTGAATGAAACAATGGTACAGGTGGTACCTTACAAAAGAATACCATATCGACATACAATGGAATACCATATCGACACATCGACATGGTTGAATTACTTTGAAAATTAATTATTATTTATTTTTTCAGAAGTCTGGTCTGGTGCAAAATGCGCAATATATCGCGTTTTAAATAAATCACTCGAAAATATTAGGACTGTGATAAATATGACGCTCCATGTATCATTTTGAATAGAAACTTACACAACTTTTTCGAACTGTGTTTGTTATAGGGTTGATTTCCTTAATTTCGGCTTCTATGGAACCCACGCATAAATCCTGAAACAGTGCATTTTTAATCAATATTTCATAAGTAGCTACCATGCGTCTCCTTCAATGAAGATGAACCTTCTCCGATTTCGAGAGGCCAATATCACTGCTCCAATACAATGTAAATGACTAGCTCAGCTACTAGCTACGTGACTCACACGCTATCATGCAGCAAAACTGAGACCAACCATAATCTGATAACAGCGTTCCATTTTCCATCGCATATTCATCCACTACAAAGAGATGCCCTGGAATGCACTTTCAACTCTTTGGCTCTGCAGAGCAATGACAGTAGCAAGTCCTATTCAATTAGCAGTAATTTCCAACGAAACAAAGCCCCAGTTTTCACCGCAAGCCACCCAGTCAAACGTCCTATCAGACAAACTTCGACCGACCACAGCTCCCTCCGACTGTTGTTCTAATTCTTCCCATACGTGTGCAATGAAACCGCCGACCGGTCAGCGATACAATCTCCAGAATCAGTCTCCCGGCACAGTGACGACTGTGTTTATAATCCGGAACACATTGCCCGGCACTTTCGGGAACTGCACACAGTACATTGCAAACCAATATATTCGTACATTCTGTCGACACCGCCGCCGCCATCGTCATCTTTGCGACTGTTGTTCATATCCAGCGTGAATGTTGCAAAAATGTAAATCACAGCAACTGAAGTAAAATTCAAAGCATTTTCCACCCGCGGCTGTAAAGCGTCTCCAAGCAACAGCAGCAGCAGCAGCAACGTCAACCTAGCGAGACATTCCGTCTCCGATCGGTTTCTTCCATGATGGTTCCGGCGACGATTAGTATCCTTTTGTTTGAACTTCACTCTCACTTACGAAACGAACGCGGCGCGCCAAAAACTTTCACCGACATAGAAGAGATGATAGTAGATAGCAGAGCAAGGCTCGTCCTCCGAAAGCAGCAACCGTTCAGACCGAACGTCGAGTGTGGACTGAAATCCGCCGTCAGTGCGATGTGGCGCAAAGGATATTCGAAACTGACAGCCAGCAGGATGCTGTGACTGTGGCGGCGGATGTTGATTCTCATTTTTCTCGCTCTTCAGTCAGCTGAGCGACGATGGGGATGGCTCGTTCCTTGACTTGTGAAGGCTCCCGGTGTGACGAGACGGGGATGTGGCGGTGGGAGGAATTGAATTCCAACGTTTGTATACGATGGGAGGAAAGTGTTCCCTTTAGCTGAATTGCACAGTCTTCGGATGCCGGGCTTTTGTCCTTTATGTGTTCTTCCAGTTGTTCCGACACATTGCTCAGTTTGTATCAAATCTGAAATGTGAGCATTGAGACGTTCAAGGGAGGTTGCTTCTTTTGTTGGTGGCAGTTTTGTTCTTCTCGACACTTCTAGTCAAGTTCTAGACGTTTAGCACCAATTTGAACTGATGGTCTAGTTGTGTTTCCTTTTGATCAAAAGTCATATCAATATTTTCCGCAGTGTCATAAACTTTGTTTTACTTTGACCACACGGCCAATGAGGAGAACAACCCAAATTTGAGTTTAGTTTACTCATAAATCACAAAAAGTGCAGGAACTCAGCGATGAGTAAATTTGCTTCATGCTTTTCCCTGTTTTATTTTCCAGGAAAAAAAATCCCGAATATGTTAAAGAAAGGATTGAATTCACTCAGTCTATTAAAGGGTGTCCCACGTCAAATTGCATCACGGAAAAAAACGATGTAGAAAATTACCTAGTTGATCGATCCTTTTCAAACTTTAAGCGTTTGGCATATTTATTTCATTCAACTTCAATACCATAACCGTACGCTCACACCTTACGCTTGACTCCACTCATTAGGTTCTGTACAACATCTGGCTGCAGTTTCTTCTGTACGAAAATCCACTTTTTCTTCATGTCTTCCTCAGATTTGACCTCCTTGGGATGATTCCGTAGTACCTGCTTCATAATAGCCCAGTATTTTTCGATGGGCCTTAGTTCCGGTGCGTTGGGGGGTTTATGTCCTGGGGTACGAAAGTGACCCCGTTGGCTTCGCACCAATCCAGGACAACATTTGAATAGTGGCACGAAGCTAGATCCGGCCAGAAGATCGGAGGGCCCTCGTGTTGCTTCAACAGAGGAAGCAAACGCTTCTGTAGACACTTCTTGAGGTAGATCTCCCCGTTTGCAGTCCCGGTAGTCACGAATGGCGCACTCCGTTTGTTACATGAGCAGATCGCCTGCCAAATCATGTATTTCTTGGCAAACTTTCAAAGTTTCCCAACAAACAATTGAGAGCTCTTATAAAACACCTGAGTTGATCAAACGTTGAATAATGATGCAATAGCTTCCAGAGTTGAACAAGAATGTAGTTGTATTGCCTTTTTGGTTAGAAGCTTCAAAAGCTGCTTGGAGCACTCTTAAATAATTGTTTACGTTCGGTTTAACTATATGCTTTATAAGACCTACGATAACTTTTATAGCACCTTTGTTAAACTGATTGACAAGAGCTATATAGAACGTGGAATAAACGCATCAAAACAAACCATTGGGAGCTCTTATACAACACCTGAGTTGATCAAACGTTGAATAATAGCTTCCAGAGTTGTACATGAATGTAGTTGTATTGCCATTTGGTTAAAAGCTTCAAAAACTGCTTGGAGCACTCTTAAATGATTGTTTACGTTCGACCAACCACAATTTTGTTGCTAAAAATAGCACAAGTGATAGGCATGTTTATATAACCATAAGGCAATGATTATTTGACTGCAAGAGAAGTCACTCAAGATGAGCTTGATATACTTCTCTCATATGATCAAAATATGTATTCAAGAATAGAGCAGATGGAAACAGAAGCGGCTGGCAATCCGGGATCATGAGTTCGAATCTTGCTTCGAGAAACCCTTGGTGTGGAGTAGGTGTTATTAATAAATGCAAACATTAATTTAAGACATATATCATATAATCAACGATAACATTTCTAGATAAATTCTCTCAATTAATTATTAGAGATTAATTGAAAGAATATCAATCAAAGATTAAACAGATACTTGTTACTACTTCCTCCATGATCACAGAATGTGAATTATGGCATAATTACATATTTTTTCAATGTGCACAAATAAATTAAATTAATAAAAACTGTACAAGCAATTATTTTGGCGTACCACGACAATTGTTAAACTAATTTTAATCTGTGAATATTGTGAGTACTTACACAACGGTTATTAAGGAGTCATTAAAAAGTGCTAAAGGGTGATACGGTCAAAATTTGGTCAATATCAACTTGACGTATTTCTTTCAATTTTGCATTTAAAAAACCTGAACACCCCTCATTTTGAAGGTGTGTGTGTGTAGAATGTTGCTCCTATTTTGATTTTGGAATTCACTCTTCAGTTGTCAAAATGCCGTCCAAGCAAGAAGAGCAGCGTATCAAAATTTTGTTGGCGCATCGCGAAAATCCGAGCTACTCGCACGCAAAGTTGGCAAAATCGCTAAAAGTTGCCAAATCAACCGTTATAAATGTAATTAAAGTGTTTGGGGAACGTTTGTCGACAGCCAGGAAGTCTGGATCGGGGGGAAATCGAAAACCGGAAGCCGCTGAGACGACAAAGAGAGTTGCCGGTAGTTTCAAGCGAAACCCTAACCTCTCTCTCCGAGATGCCGCAAATAAGCTGGGTGTATCGTCTACAACCGTGCATCGAGCCAAAAAACGAGCCGGACTATCGACTTACAAGAAGGTAGTGACTCCAAATCGCGATGATAAACAAAATACGACGGCCAAAGCGCGATCCCGGAGGCTGTACACGACGATGCTGACGAAGTTTGACTGCGTGGTAATGGACGACGAAACCTACGTCAAAGCCGACTACAAGCAGCTTCCGGGACAGGAGTTTTATAGGGCAAAAGGAAGGGGAAAGGTAGCAGATGTTTTCAAGCACATGAAACTGTCAAAGTTCGCAAAAAAATATCTGGTTTGGCAAGCCATCTGTACCTGTGGCTTGAAAAGCAGCATTTTCATAGCTTCCGGGACTGTCAACCAAGAAATTTACGTGAAAGAGTGTTTGAATAAACGTCTGCTGCCTTTCCTGAAGAAACACGGTTGTTCCGTACTGTTTTGGTCGGATTTGGCATCTTGCCATTACGGTAAAAAGGCCATGGAGTGGTACGCCGCCAACAACGTGCAAGTGGTTCCCAAGGACAAGAACCCTCCCAACACGCCAGAGCTCCGCCCAATTGAGAAATACTGGGCTATTGTCAAGCGGAACCTAAAGAAGACCAAAAAACTGCTAAGGGCGAGCAGCAGTTCAAGGCAAACTGGCTTTCTGCGGCGAAGAAGGTGGACAAGGTGGCTGTACAAAATCTGATGGCAGGGGTCAAGCGTAAGGCCCGGCAATTCGGATTTGGAAAAGCGGAAGCCTAACTGAATATTTTTCCTGAATTTTATACTAATTGAACTTGAAAAAGAAATTTAATTTGATTTTTTAAATAAACGATTTCACCGATTTACACGCGTTTTCCCTTGACCAAATTTTGACCGTATCACCCTTTATAAACGCTTTTCACCGCTTGCTGTATAGTGATTATTTAGGAGTCATAAAAGAGTGTAACAAACGCCTCTCAGGTTCAATCTCTAAAACATTTCGAAGCAGCTGTTAGGAGGTGTCTACAAACGTTGTATTAGAGCTTTCACCAAAACAATAAAGCTTGAGTTTAAATATGTATCTATAAACGAGTCATAAAAGAGTGCAACAAACGCCTCTCAGGTTTACTCTCTACTAAATTTCAAAGCAGCTGTCAAGAAGTGTCTACAAATGTTGTATACGAGCTTTCATCAAAATAATAAAGCTTGAGTTTAAATATGTATCTATAAACGTTGTATAAAAGTTGCTTCTACTCCTATACCGCGTATACATATAATGCTGTAGTTGAACAGGTTCTCCAAACCAGTGTAAACAAGAGTTTTACAGAAGTTGTAATAAACAAATTGTACAGTTATTATTCAGCATGCAGTTGAATAAAATCACAATGGAAGCGTTTCTTCAACAAGAAATTGATTTTGGATAAACGTTTTACTGAATACGTTAGACAACACCTTTGTGTTGCAGTTGTATAGATTCTCCAAACCAGTGTAAACAAGGGTTTTATAAAAGTTGTAGTGAACACATTGTGCAATTATTATTCAACATGCAGCTGAACAAAATCAAAACGAAAGCGTTTCTTCAACTGGAAATTGTTACTTGGGTTCTGCTTCCTTACTTCCTCCAGAACATCCAACTTAGGCTGGGCAGTTAAGAACAGTAGCCCCGGAAGCTGCCGGAAGTCCGCCTTGACGTAATCTCATCATCCATGATGAGGCGATGAGGTTTCGTCATCTGGGTTGTACAGTTTCCGGGCCCGTGACTTTCCCACCGTATTTTGTCGTTTTTCACGATTTGGAGCATTCTGCACTTTGTACGTATGCAGTCCCTCACGGTCCTTTGCTCTCTGAACGAAAGACTTGGACAGATTCAACTTTTTGGCCACATCCCTGACCGAAGCATTGGGATTCCGCTTGAACGCTTTCACGACGCTAAGTCCATAGCGGCCCAGGTGTAGAATGTGTTGTTCGTCTCCATCTGTTTTATTAACAGCGCTGACGATATCGAGTGATTGGCAGCGATCTTGTGAACTTGATCACGCCTCATGACGATCCTGTACTTGGTCTTAGCACGGCCGTGGGAATACAAAGAGAAAGTCGATGAAGATAATCTGTTAGCTTGATTTGTTCTTCGCCTGACCGGTTTTCACTTCGATTTCGTCCGGTTGATCGTTGATGGGTTTGAAGTCCGGACGAGGATCGCAATCACCGGAAACATTGGTAGTGGTTACTTCAACGTCCTCCTCCTCTTCGGCTTCGAAAATGCTCTGGCTGAACATTCCGCGGGGGTAATG